TTTCATTAGAAGAAGATTTCAGGTTTATTGTTCCGACTTTCGAAGAAAATGGAATATTTATTCTCGCCGCTGTGGTTTTTTTTATTCAGTCAATTTTCGCCGATCTAAATAATAAGTTTCGACAAAAATGTTTTATACCCATTGAAGATATCGACTTCCGCAGTTCAAATGGATAAAGATATTTTACCTCCGATCATTTTTTGGTAAAGTTCTGGGGGTTTGAAAATTGCCAAATTGGCCATGTTCTGGAATAAATTATGCGAAATTTGAGAATTTATTCATATTGCTGAGAGCGTAACGCGAATTATTTATGCCTGACAAAATATCCTGCACAACAAATGCGTTCCAAATTGAATTGAAGCTAGCCAATCAGATCGGTCATAATAATTTCGTACGACTCTAATTTTCTCACTGTTATTGTCTAAATTTATAGGTTTTCATTATTTTCTTTTGACAAAAACTATTCGATACGAATTGAGGGACAGTAGAAGGGCTTAGCCCTGATATACGAGCAGTCTTGTTGGTGAAATTCAATGTTCAAATTCTCTTGAGTTGAAACCAGTGCAAATTTTTTAACCACCGGAGGCAGTGCCCTAAAAAACTCAAGAACTAGCGTCAAATTTTTCAATGTTAAACAAGAGTTTTTTTGAAATATTTAGTTTAGTTTAAAATTGGTTGAGATTTAAGGCAGAGTTGATTTGGTTAAGCTTAAAAGCAGATTTTCTATCTTTCAATTTTAAACAAAATCAAGTTTATCGAATAAAGCCAGCAAGCAGGCTTGCACTAGCTTATTCCAATGGCTTAAAAAATTAAAATAGAAAAACAAGACTGCTCGTATATCAGGGCAAAGCACCTTAATTCATTCCCTTAATTCATATCCAGTAGTTTTTGGGGAAAAATCTTGAAAACCTATAAACTTTGGACAAATACAAAGTGAAAAATTTTGAGTCGTAAGAAACTAATACGACCAATTAGCTGGCCTCAATTCAAATAGGAATGATTTTGTTGTGCGGGATAAGTCGCCACGCATAAATAACTCGCGTTACTCTCTCAGCATTATGAATAAACTCTTCAAAGCGCGCATAATTTAATCCAGAACCTGGAAAATTTGGCAATTTTCAAACCCCCAGAACTTTACAAAAAAATACTCGGACGTGAAATGTCTTTTTTTTGAACTCAAGAAATTGATATCTTCATTGGGGTAAAAAAATTTTGGTGAAAATTATTGTTTCGATTGGTGAAAATTGACTGAAAAAAAAACCACGCCGAGCATAAGTATTGCATTCTCTTCGAAAATCGGATTAATAAGTTAGTTAATCTAACTTAATTAACTTAGCTTTAATCAAGTAAAAAAAAGTTTCTGAGTATTTTAACGACTTTTTAGAATAATAAATTTGAAAATTTCAAAAAAAAACTGCAAACAAAATTGAGAAAGTTTCTAAACATTTTATTTGAATGTTTTTTTTTGTTTTTCTAGTCACTTTTCTACAAATGTGGTTTTCCAATTTGCATATTTTGCTAAGCCTCTCGAATATGCTTAAGCTCTATTTTTTCGTTCAGATCCTTTTATCACACCGAGCCGAAAAACCGATACAAACTTGAAAAAAAATCTGATTATATATTTTGTAAGAATACGGTCGGAACATTCTGTACTGTTTGGACAGTAACTGCTATCCTTCTTTTTCTATAGTTTTTGGGGCTTTATACGTAGTTTTAAAAAAAGATAATGTTGGCAGAACAAAAATTGAAACAGTAAAAAGAATCAGATTGATATAGTCAGAGATTAATTTACCAACTTCAGGATTAGCCAGACGAAGAAGTTTTCGGAGTTGGGAGTTAGTATTATAATGGCGCCTTCATTTTGAATTTTTTTGAACCTCTTCTGACCTGTTTTGCGTAAAATTGGATGTTCTATTGTACACTCGACTCACTGTAAATTCGTCTTAGACAGCGTTACTTTGCACAAAAAGATTTATGAAGGGATAAAGTTGAATGATACGCTAGTTTAGAAGCTCAGTGGAGTGATTGCTAATCTTAGGTAAACAAATCAAAGCTATCAATTGTTGACTTTATTCAAAGTTGTAAGTTAGTAATATTTTAATGACCTGTTTTGTTCAACAGTTTTTATACATTTTTTAAAAATTTACCTGCGGCCGAAATTTTAACCAAAAAACTAACCAAAATAAGCAAAATGGATTGATAGGTAGTTCTTATATTCCGTTGCAAAGCTTTTGAAACTAGAAATTGATCATGTTTTTGCACGGCTATCAAAAACAAAATTTTCAATTCTTGAGCAGTTGAACTTAAAATGAATTTGAAAAAAAAATCTATCACAAGTCAAACATAAACACCACATCAAATTTGAGATGTAACTCCTGCTTTTTTTTCTCTGAAAAAACCACACGACCTAAAAAAAATGCGATCATTCAACCTCTGGCATTTAGAAATCTAAATAAAAGAGTTAGTATAATTTTCAAACTTTTATCTTCCACGAAAAAAACTTACACATTAAATTTCTTTGAATTTTGAACTCCATAAATGGATGATTTTTAAAAATACAACCAGCAGAACTGAGGCGAATTGATTCAATAGTTGCTTTTTAAAAATCAAGTAATCAAGTGGCAATCTTAGAGAAGTAAAATCACTTTTGACACCAAATATCATTCATCTTTTTTTTCGCAACATTTGCACTTCCCTTATTGGAGAGCATAACTTTCTTCCTTTAAAGCGATCGAATTAGCATTGAAATTAAAATAAATCAAAAGTCAACCGCGAATAGCAAAAAGCCAAAGGCGAAAAATTAATTTTGAATGTGAACAAATTGTAAAATAATTCCTCAAAAAATCGAAAAAAAACACGCGCTCTGTTTAAGTGTCTTCAATTCGTCCATTGACACCAAAAGAATATCCGAGCGTTTGCAGTGTCCTAGTGCGTTGATAGTCCCCGTGCACAACTAAAGTAAAACTGTGTTCAGAAATAGAAGACGATAATGGGACTGAGAGCGACAGCTTGCAATCTTTGTTTAGCGGAACACTAATTCTGTGCACTAAACCAGATAGTTTGGGTTGTAGACTTGACTAAAAACCAAATTATTTCAGTTTTTTGTGTTTTCTTTGCGCGTCAAGCAGAAAGCATAGATT